TGAGGATGCCCTCCCCAAACCAGCCCCCACCCACGCTGTAGCTGGTGGCAAAGCCTCCGGCAGGGAGGCAGACAGTAGGGAGGCAGCTGGCAGCCCTGTAGCTGCTTCTGCCCAGTCCCGCTGAGCAGGCAGAGAAATTTCGGGCCCCACGGGAGAGACTCGGGAGCTTGCAAGAGCTGCTGGAATACATTGCGGACACAGGAGTGGAGCCCCCACTGGCCCCTCCTGGGCTCTTGAGAGACCCAGAAGAGAAGCCAGCCTTGAGGCGTTTGGAAGCCATGGCCCCAGCAACTCAGAGGCAATTGATAGATCTCTAAGACCAGTTACCCCAAAGCAGAAAAGCAGCTCCTTACTCCAGATTTATATCTCTACCCCAGTGGGCGTTGGTTGGCCTTCACAAAGTGTTTTCTCCTCGTTAAAGTTAACACCACTTTCTATTAAAACCCCTCATTAACCTCTGATTTAGTTTTCTGTGAAAATTTACCAGCCTCATAAAATAGGAGCCCCGCTGCTATGTCAAGTCTCACCTCCACCACCCCGCATCACTGGGAAGACTCAGTCCCCGTCAGTTCTTCAAAGGGACCTGTCATCTGAGCCCAGACCTCAGCCTCCGCATTAAGCAGGCGTGGGAGTTCAGCCACCATCTTGACTTTCTCCAACTTTGACTTCTTTTATGGGCCCGAGGGAGTAGAGGAGGTCTCCGGGAAGCTCCCAGGAGGTGGAAGAGTAAGCTTGGTTATTGCAGGAAGGCAGGGGTCTTGCAGCCAGGGAGACACAGAAGGCTCTTGAATTGGCCCAGAAAATATGACTACGGTGACCAATTTCCCTGGTTTCCCCAGGAATTTTCTGGTTTTAGTTCTAAAAGTTTCATATGCCAGGGAACCCTCAGTCCTGGGCAAAATGGAGCAGCTCGTCACCCTAGATACTGCAGAGCCCTGATGGACACTTCCCAACTCTTTCCCTTGCCAGGAAGTCTGTCCAGGCTGTAGAGTCTAAGTTCTAGCCACAATGCCTAGAGGCCAGTTAATTGGACAACTGCCCATGATGACATCTAGGAGGGTGTGCCTTCCCCAGCCCTGGCTGAGAAATGGAGAAGCCCTTCCTTCTGGTGGCCTGAATCGGAGCTCTTTTCACACAGCCCTATCAATAACCAGGCTGATGGTAGCAACCATTATTCAATGAGCGTTTAGTACCCACCGGCCCCCACACTGATCTGTCTCTGTGCATTCTCTTATTCAGTCCTCACACAACCTCATGCGATTGGTATCACCAGTAGCCCATTAAATAGATGAGTCTTGGGCTGTTTCAGGAGCCTGTCCCAGATCACGGCTGAACAAGCATCTGTACAACTGCTCAAGGCATGCTGTCTTCTTTAAGACCCCCACACACCCTGCAACACAGACGTGGACCAAAAGTGCTGACTCCTACAGAAGGATCCAACAGTCAGAGTGGAAAACGGCTTAACCGAGGTCCACACAGGCTTCCCAGGGAGGCTAAAACCCAGGCCTTCCAGCTCCAAACCACAGGCCCACCCCACAGCCTCTAAGGGCCCAGTCCTGGCTAGGCCTTCCCCCTGGAGCCTGGCCCCTGCTCCAGCCCTGCTGCGCCCTCCCAGCTCTGAATGCCTGCAACAGTGACTGTTGGTGGATTTCTTGGCCTCCTATTAACTGACGCCTTCTGATTGTCTTATGTTTCAGCCCTATTTTCCCAGGGAGACTGTTAGCATGGGGGCAGGGATTGATCTTATAGTTTCTTTTGAAATCTCTGTAGCTTCAAGCACAGTGCTGGGCTTCTACATGTCTCCAAATGAATTAATTAATAAATGAATGAATGAGTGATTTTCCCATGGTAAATTGTGTTAAGAAAGGAAAGAAAGAATGGAAGGGGAAAAAAAAGAGAATAGGGAGCGGGGAAAGACAAACAGTCGGTCTTACTATTTCTACTTTTATAAATGAGGAAACAGAGACTCAGACGTGGAAGGGGACCAGGCTTCTCTGTGTAGGTGAGCAACGCCTGCTCAGACTAACCAGCCCCTTTGGCCAAGAACAAAGTGTTCTCTGGGCCAAAAGCCATTCTGCCCAAGGGAAACGGATCCTGTGAGCCAATTTAGTGCTAAAGGTGTGGCTAAAAAATTCTTGATAAGATTTGATAAAACATGTATGTATTTTTAAAGCTGTTTTGGGGTGTTTTATAAAGTGATCTCGTCTATTTCTATGCCTTTTTAGCATTCTTTTCTTAAATGAAATAATTATCTAGAAACCTTATCAGCAAGAACTGATATTGTTTAGCAAATTCCTAGTAACTTTCCTTACAGGATAATTGCACTCTGCTCAGATGAGGTCCAGGCTGTCCCGGATCATGCCACGGATACACTAAATATGGCCTTAGAATTCCCTTTTCCCTCCTTCCTCCTTTTTCTGCCCATCAAATCCAAATCTGCCCTAAAGCCTTTCCTGGTCACCCCAGCCCTCAGTGATCTCTCCTCTTCCTCAAAACCTGAAACCCTGCCCATGCCCGCTCCCCAGGTGTGGGGGAGTGTGGGGGCGAGGTGTCTCCACAGCGGGACGTGAGCTCCTTGGGAACTGTGCCTGTTATCCACTCTTTGTTCCAGCCACTCCCGCCACCCCTGCTCCTTCCTAGATAGGCCTGAACCTGAAGGTTGGATTGGCTATGTAGGCCGTGTTCCGCACGTTATCTCTTCGCTGATTAATTGATGTGTATGTGTGAATGAGAAAGACAGTCAGACAGCACATCTGGAAAGCACAAAAAAAATCAGAAAAACCAGACCACCTTGAAATAAAGCATCATAGTCACTCTGGGGAAATTGTATTAAATGCTTTCTATCCTTTCTCTCTTGGTATCAATGAAATAGGAGCCCAAAGACCCGAGAAGTCTCCTGAGTCTGCCACGTGCTGTGTGACTTTAGACCAGCCGCCACCTATCCCACAACACCATTGAATTCTGATTTGCACATAGGTCAGTGATTTCAATCGCAACTCAGTCAAGGGTTTGTGTGAGGTTGAGACAGGAGGCATTTCTTAACCCATGCAGATGCACTGGACAATGTAATTAAAAGCTAGGCAAGGATGCAGGAATAAAGAGCATACAGCCACTCAGGGCTGAACGTGTGCATGAGATGAGGCTGTGAGTGTGTCCTGTGAACTGAAGAGTGATCGTAAAAAGGGAAAATGCTGTACAATGCAAGGTGCTGATGACATAATTACCTGTCAGGTCACGCCCTGTGTGGTTCACTCACGGTGACAAGGTAGCTCAGCTGTTTCCCAGTTAGAAGACTCGGCCCACTCCCGGACCCTTGGCTGTTTCTGCACAGAGGTGCAGTGCTCTCTGTGAATGCCTGGTCACCCACCAGCCTCAGGCCAAAGGCAGGGGTGCAGACCTCAGGCCCCAGAGCATGAGTGGAGCAGGGAGGGGGAGGGGGGGCAGGGGAAAGAGCCATGCAGACTGTCCCCCATTCCCAGAGCCAGGTGCATCCTCTGTGGCTGAGGCCTTTGGGTTCACTCTCCAGCTCCAAGGGCAAGGCTGGCATCGCAGCCCCCACCACAGCACCCTGCCGATACAAAGGAAAGAGCTTGGCCCACGCAATGGGGGTTTCTGTTTGACACTCTGAGGCCAGGGACTCTGCATTTGTAGTAAGAACAACACTGATAGCTACCACTTTTTGGAAGCTGCACACACTGTCTCATTGGAGCCTCCCAGCAGCCCCATTTCACAGATGAACCTGCAGAGACCAGAGAGGGCTCATGACCTGACCAGGCATGTAGAGTGACAGAGTCGGGCTCAGGGCAGGATGCTCTGATGCTACCTACGCACATCTTATCCTGGGGTCTGATACGTGTTTGCTGTGCCTCTGGCTTGCCCAGCAAGTGATTGAAGAGTCATATTTGTTAATCACCAAATAGCGGACGACATGACACAAAGTCAGGTGATGGAGGTCTTGGCCATGATCCAGAGGAGAGCCCAGAGGAAAGTGAGCACGAGAGAGAGAGAAACTACTGAGAAGAGTTCCAGAGTCAGGACCAGAAGAGCTGGGTGATCGCCAGGTCTCACCACTCACTGCTCTGTGCCTGGGACAAGTCACTGCCCTCTCTGGTCCTGTGTTCTCAAACGAAGACTGAAGCAGGGGGCAAAGGAACCAACCGTGAGGCCCTCAGACCTCTCCCAGGCCATGCTTCTCTCATCAGAGGGGAGTCCGGGTCTGGAATAGTCAGGTGCCATCGGCAGACCTGCCTGACCTAGCCTGTGGAATCCAGGCCCTGAACTCTGCTCCGCAATGAAGCCTGGCTGTCCTGTCCCCCAACTCCACGTCTGAGCCCCCACCCGCACCCCACTGTCCCTGGCACCCTTCAGTTTGGTCCTGTGTGCCTTGTTGGGACATGGATTCGCCTGGCCCTCCACCTTCACCGCCCTGCTCTCCCTGACCGCCCTCCCCGGCGTGGCTGGCTCAGGCTGGTTGCCTAGAGTTTGGCCCTCTCTGCTTATTCCTGGGACCCCCCTCTCCTGAACCATCCCCAGCGTCAGGCAGTAAAGTGACAGGAGCTGGGCAAGAGAGGAGAAGCTGAGAGAAAAAGAGAGATCGCTACCAAATCTCTCAGGGGTGCAGACCTCAGGCCCCAGAGCATGAGTGGAACAAAGAGGGGGAAGGGGCGGGGCTGGGGAAAGAGGCTGGTCAGGCTACTACAGAGAAGGACTGGTTCGGGAGCCTCTGCCTCTTTTGGGGCCTCCCTAAGGTATCTACTCATGGTCAGCACCAAGCTGAGAGCTACGGCCAGCACCCATCCAGACTGGGTCAGTGTCTGTTCTCACTGAGCAGGGCCTGAGGCATCTTTGTTATTAAATACTTTGAATCACCCTGTCACCTCCTCCCACTCAGAGCCAGAGAAGATAGACCTCAACCCAAACCCCACAACTATCCTGCAGCCCCTGATCAAACACCCCCATGAACCACACGAGCACATGAGCATCAACAGAGTCAGCCAAAATTGAGTTTGCTATGCCAGGAGAACACACTTTATTGGGTAAATTTCCAGGAAACCTGGTTTTGCATGGCGTAAAGCACAGTGAAGTCCAGAAACACAATACCGGGAGTGTTTTGGTAGAAAAACCTGCTAAGCATAGGGGGACCCTTCTAGAGAGGGACAGGGTCGTTCAGCTGCCAGGAGTCCCAGGGTGTCCTCCTTCCTGTGGTCGGGGCCCTGCCTGGTGGACCAGGTGGGCTGTCACAGCGGGCGGGACTGCAGGTGCTCCCTGGAGGAGATGACTCTCCCATCTCTGATCTCCTCGGTGATGGTGCGGATCTGAGTACCAGCCTGGGGAGCAGGGATGCAGGCCACAGCCGGGGCACAGGGCGCCGGGGGGACAGAAGGAACTCTAATGGCAGGCTTGCATGCCATGGCACAAGGTGGGGGAGGAAGCCTGGGGAAACAAAATCATTCCGGGTACATTTGGCATCGGAGCATTGGGCTGAGATTCGTGTTAAACAGGTCTAGAGGATCGAGCGAGATGGGTGGCCTCGGACCGTCTCAGTGCCTCCAAATTCCCCTAGGGTGAGAGGACCGAACTGCGGATATTAAGAGCAGAAATTGCCAACCAGAAAAGATGGTGCAAAACACGCGGTGTGTGCTAGGTTGGATTCTCCCACTATGCACTGCCAAAGCCTGGGACTAGATGGAGAATCTCGAGGGGCTTTGGCTTAGTCCCCTTCATCTGGGCAACAACCACTTCTGGGCTTGATGCCCTCCACATGGTACTGGGGGTTGAGTCAAGCCCTCCCCCAGCCCAAGGGCCACTCACTTGCAATCCTCTCCCTCCAGCAGGCGGCGGTAGGTAGCGATCTCGCCCTCCAGCCGGGCCTTGACGTCCAGCAGCACCTGGTACTCCTGGTTCTGCCGCTCCAGGTCACAGCGGATCTCAGACAGCTGGGCCTCCACGTTGCTGATCAGGCACTGCATCTGGGCCAGCTGGGAGCTGTAGCGGGCCTCGGTCTCCGCCAGGGTGGATTCCAAGGAATTCCGCTGCAATGGCAAAGAGGAAGAGCTGCCCATGGGGAGGAATCCCCCAACCCCAGAAACCCACAGCCCTGCACATCTGCATAGGCCTGTGATCACACCCCATGAGATCCTGCGTGCCGAGGCTGGTGGGTCGGGGACCTGCCACAGACTGTGGCCAGCCACGCAGGCAGGAGCCACTCACCATGCTGTGCTGGGCCTGCAGCTCAATCTCCAGGGCGTTCACCGTGCGTCTCAGCTCAATGATCTCAGACTGGCAGCACTGCAGCTGCTCTGAGCTGGACACCACCTGCTGGTTCAGCTCCTCAGTCTAAACACATGCGAGGGCTCAGAGCATGGTCAGACCAAGTTATTTCAAAAGGTAACCCCAGCCCAGGAGCCTGTAGTCCCAGGGCACCCCAACCCCACCTGGGTGTTGAACCAGGCCTCCACATCTCTGCGGTTATTCTCCACCAGGGCCTCGTACTGGCATCTCATATCCTCCAGGATTCTGTTGAGATCCACTGGGGGGGCAGCATCCACCTCCACATTCAGTCGGTCCCCAAGTTGGCAACGGAGTGCACCGACTTCCTGCACAGAGGAGAGAGGGTGACATGAGGTTGTGAAAAGGATGCTGGATTGCAGGTTTCACTGACCTGGATTCAAACCCTCTTCCCTCAGTTGCCAGCTGCATAGCATTAGACAGGATACTTAAATCTCTCTAAGCCTCGGTCTCCCTCTACGTATACCTACCTTGGTATATACCTACCTCCTTCTTTGGGATATTTGTGAGATGATACAAGCCCTAGGCAAATTAATTTGCCGTTATCAGGCACTAGAGCCCAAATAGAAATCTCGTGTTGGCCAGGCATGGTGGCTCACACCTATAATTCTAGCACTTTGGGAGGCCAACGTGGGCGGATCACTTGAGGTCGGGAGTTCGAGACCAGCCTGACCAACATGGAGAAACTCTACTAAAAATAGAAAAATTAGCTGGGCATGGTAGCACATGCCTATAATCCCAGCTACTTGGGTGGCTGAGACACGAGAATCACTTAAACCCAGGAGGCGGAGGTTGTGGTGAGCTGAGATCACGCCATTGCACTCCAGCCTGGGCAACAAGAGTGAAATTCTGTCTCAAAAAAAAAAAAAAAACAAAAGAAATCTAGTGTTGTGGGCAGAAGTGTAGACCCTCTACAACCTTAGGCAAGCAACTTAACCTCTTTGTACCTAAGCTTTCTCGTTTGTAAAATGGAGCTTGTCACAGTTTATAATTCTTGGGATGACTGTAAGGATGAAATGAAATGAGAATGAAATGTAAGGAAATGTATAGTTCCTGCCACACTCTAAGCCCAAGGACCAGCAGTGGCTCCCTAAGCTGGATGGGAAATGCTGGGAGGTCACGTGGCACCAGCCTCACCTCCTCGTGGTTCTTCTTGAGACACATCAGCTCCTCCTTCAGGGACTCCACCTGGGCCTCCAGGTCGGCCTTGCACAAGGTCAGCTCATCCAGGATCCTGCGCAGGCCGTTGATGTCCGACTCCACCAGCTGCCGCAGGGACAGCTCAGTCTCATACCTGCACACACAGAACCCTCCTGAGTCTGCAGCAAGGGAAACCCCACACAGGCAGGGTCCCCTGCCCTGCTGTCCAGCTGCAGTGGCTGACTTGCAGTCAGGAGCGGGATGGTCCTTATCCCCACCTCACCAGCTCCCAAAGGCAGGAGACAGAGGCAAGGGAGTGGCATGGCAAACCTTCCCTGATCAGGCCCACTCACTTGGTCCGGAAGTCATCAGCAGCCAGCTTGGCATTATCAATCTGCAGAACCAGCCTGGCATTCTCAGACTTAGTCAGCAGGATCTGGGGAACAAGAGGTTTCCCATGAACTACAGGAGGCCCAGCAGTGTGGAGGCAGGTAGAGGGATAGCTCAGCTCACAGAGGCCATGCTACTATGTATCACCACCTTTAGCATTTCCAGCCCTGAGCCACACCCCAGGTATGGGGGAAGCATGCACCCCACGGGGGCATCCCAAGCATGTCAGTGGCCATCAGTCCTGGCACCTATAGCCTTCAGGGTGGCACCGTGAGATACATCACGGTAAGGCAGACCTGGATTCAGGTTCTGCGTCTAACACTCAGGCTGTGTGATCTTGAGCAAGTTGCTGAACCCCTCAAAATTCAGCTTCCACGTCTGTTAAATGGGTCCAGCAATACTCATCTCTCCAAGATGAAGAATAAATAAGTCAGGGAGTAGGGAGGTGTCAGGCACAGTGCTGTATCCAGTAGGGGCTTGGTACATGTTCCTTCCCTTCCTACAGCTGAGACAGCAAGGGGGCGTGAGGAATGGCTGGCAACGAGGTGCAAGCAGAGAAGCCTGGGTCCCCGAGGAAACCAAAGGCCTAGAGAGAAAAGTTAGCCCTACCAAGAGAATTCCCTAAAAGCTACCGTCCCATCTGGAAAGGCCCTGGAATGAGACAGACGCCGCCTAAGAGTTAGGCTGCTCAGCTAGAGAGGGGTCAGGTCTTTCTTACCTTCTGCTGGAAATCTTCGATGGTCTTGAAGTAGGACTGGTAGTCTGGGCAAGTGTACGGGATCTGAGACTCATACCACTCCCGGATGCGGCTCTCCAGCTCCGCGTTCTCCCGCTCCAGCTGACGCACCTTCTCCAGGTAGTTGGCCAAGCGATCGTTCAGGAACTGCATGGTCTCCTTCTCGCTGCCGTTGAAGGAGCCCTCGCAGAACCAGCCCCCGCTCCCAACAAAGCCGGAGGGGTGGCACCCAGCAGACAGATAGGAGCCAGGCAAGCAGCTCCCAAGGCTGGAGAGGCCCGACCTAACAGAAGAGATGCACCCCGCAGCACCGGCGAGGCTGGGCACCCTGCAGGAGCCCACAGAGCGGATGGAGGACACCCGAGAGATACCGCCTGCTGCGCCACAGAGGCCCTTGGCAGACCCCATGGAGAAGGTCGGGGTGCAGATCTGGGCGGCCATGGTGCTAGCAGAGGAAGGCTGCAGCTTAGCAAGCAGCTTGGGTTCTGGACTCAAGGCCTCTGCGGAGCATTTATATACACTCTCCATGGGGTGTTGGCATGGTACACATCCCTTGCTCTTGGGAAAGCCTATTCCTATTCCCGAAAGCTAATCTCATTAGAATGTGATTTTTGCTACCCATCCAGAACCCCATGCCTTATAAAAAAAAAAATTTGTTGAATTTGGTTTGCTAAGTCAGGACTCTCGACTGTTGTCATTTCCTAGCAGAAAATGAGTTTTATTGCCTCTTCAAAGAGTCTGCACCAGGTCCCATAAATTGGGAGTGGCTGCACGAATGACATTTGGTTCCTGCTCTCTCTATCTGCCTTCCCCTGGGGAGCCTAGTCTGTCCCTTGTCACCCCCATCCACTGCCACCACCCCTCATAGCTGCTCACCCTGCCTGGGCTGCTGGGATGGTAAAAGAGAGCAAAGGAACAGAAATTCAGGAAGCACCTGTGATGTACCAGGCTACTGGTTATTTCATTCACACCTCATAACAATCCTAGGAGGTGGCTGATGTTATCTTCATTGGTACCAATGTGGAAACTGGGACTCAGAATGGTTTAATAGCTTGCTCAAGGTGAACAGGAAGTGACTGGCAGAGCTTAGGTCTGAAACCCGGCCTCTCAGACACCAAATCCAATTTCCTTGCCCCACTGCTTCCCCACACAACTGGGGTCAAGTCTGAGTACCCAGAATTTAGGGACAGGAGACCTAGTTCAAATCCTGGCTCTGTGGCTGGTTTTCTCAGAGATACTGAGCACATCACTTCCTCCCTGAGAAACTCAGTGTTTTCATCGGAACAGTAGAGATCATCCCTCTGTCCCACCTGCTTCCCACAGATATGAAATGAAAGTGTTTTGCAAGCCACTGGGTCCTGCAGAAGTGTTGGTTAGGTTAGGAGGAGAGTCTTTGATGATGGTTTATGGCTGTGGTCAGCAAATGTTCGTAAGCGTGAGCACTGCTAAGCATGGTCTGTCTTCCCACTGAGCACAGCAGGGTGGCAGTGGGAGAAGGGGGTGCCCCATAGCCAGTCCCTTAGTCAATGAACACATCATCACAGACTCCTGCCATTATGGAATCTGCATGCTTGGATCCCTGGGCAGAGCTGGAGGGCAGTTTCCTTTGTGGCCGTCAGCGTCTTGAACCTCTGAGGGTGGAATCAGGAGCCTAGAACGACCTGCTCTGACCCTCCTGGTCCCTGAACAGGTCACAGAAATGGCCAATGGCAGACTCTTTGGACAGAGGAGGAATACAAAGAAAAAAGCTAAATACTGCCAGATAGTTAAGCAAGCCGAGAGAGGAGAACCTGAGAATTAAGGGCCAAAGATAAGCCTGGGTCTTCCGCCTTGAAACGTGGACTTTCCCAAGGCTTGGGCAACCTGCTCACTCTGCCCCCACACACGCTTGTTTGCAAAGCTGGCGTTTATGGAAGCATTTATGTGCTTCTCAAGTTGTAATTTGCCAGCCTCTTAAAACGTTTTATAAGCTTCTCTCTGAAATCACCTAGGGAGGACTAGCTATGGAGGATCATGCCTGTCCCAGCAAGGTGGACACTTTCACAAGATGCCCAGGAGCAGCTGGCAGTGGCCCCCCGTGCAGTGCCTCTGGGAGCAAGAGGAGACCATCAGCCCCCAGAGCCCCAGTTGCCCTAGTAATGACATCCTTACAACCATCCAATCTCCGCAGTTCTCCCGGCGGGGCCTAGGAGTGGATCGTCACAGGGTTTCCAACCTCAGCCCTTTGTGCCAGGTCATTGTTTGCTGTTCAGGGCTGCCCTGTGCATTGTAAAACGTTTGGCAGTGTCCCTGGACTATACCGCCAGATGCCAGTAGCCACCCCCTGCCCCAGTATTGACAACCAAAAATGTCTACAGACATTGCCAAATGTCCCCGGAGTTGGGGGTCAGGGGACAAAACCACCCCCAGCTGAGAACCACCGGACTATCAGGACCAAGACTGGGGCTCTGACCCAAACTCCCCTAAGTATCCCCTACTTGATTTTCTGGGACAATAGTGCGGAGTCTGGCTGTCCCTGTTGGGCCCACTCAGGCAAGTCCTCAATATACCTATGCCTCAGTTTACCTTGTTTGTGACACAGCATGCTTGTCCTGCAAAATGGGCCCAAGGGCAGCCCGCACCAAGCCCTTTGCACAGCTCTTCTCTGTTTGGGATCTATGGCTGGCTGGCTTCTGAAGTTAATACTCTCATTTTCTTTTTTGTTTTAAACCCTGTACTGTACGATCCATAACTGAGGCTGATTCTAGGTTTCTCTCAGGACAACTGAATAAGCAAGGAGTCTGCTGATCCGAAGGTCCAAATACCCCCATCATTCTCACCTGAGCATCACAAGGGCCGCTGTGGACCAGGGAGGCACCCCTAGGGCTGTGGAGAGTGGACTGTACCTTCCCTGGAGCAGGTGACCAGCTCGTCAAAGGAGAAAGTCTTTCAGCTGCCCTCAATGTCCCGCCTTTTTCCTTATTTTTGACTTGCACAGCCAACCCCCGACCCAAGGGAAGTGCGGAGAGAGACTTGGGGAGGAATTCCTCTTCCCTCTCCCACCCAGCAGCCTGGGACAACACAGGATGGGGTAAGGCTTACAGCAACAAACGCTCGACCTGTATCAGAGACAAGAACCCAGGGCTCAGGGTTGCTCTCCTCCCCTGGCAGCTCTAAGAGGCCGCCCCCTCCCGTGCTAGCCCAGCCAGGGAGAACTTCCAGTTGTTCACGGTTGTATAAACCAGGGCTGCCCTGCATCAGGTTTTATTTCAAAGTAGAATCATATTCTGAGACCATTTTTCTAACATCAGTCAAAAGTGCACTGGGCTAAGGGTTAAGAGACCTGGACTCCAGGCCCAGCTCTGCCCCAAATTCCAGTACAGCATGAGGCCCCAGTACACTGGGCCTCAGAGCCCCAGTGTGAACAAGGAAGGGCCTGGACAATGAGCTGGCACCCATGATCTCAGACAGTATAGGATCAGGTAACCGAGCACACGCTGTGGGTCCCAGGAGTTGCCTGGATGTGTCTGTGATTCATTCACCATCCCCACTGCCCTGTCCCTTCTCTGGCATTGATCCTCAGAATGAAGAAGCATCAAGGAGGTTCAAGCCCATGACACGACTGGGTTTCATGTTCTGTCCAAACACCCATGGGCCTCAGATCTCCCTTTGCCTCCAGCACCGCACACCCAGAGAGCAATGGTGCAGGCTTCCTCCTGGCTTTCCCTCCGCAGGCCAAGTGGCAGCATTAACCCCCTCCCAGGCTGTTCCCCGAGAAGGCCGGATCAGCGGTGCATTGTCACAGGGACACTGAGCCAGCATCCCAGCATGTCAGGCCTGAAATGGCATCTCTGGCCAACTGAGTCAAAGACTTTGCTTTGCAGAGGAAGGGATTCAGAGAATAGAGGGCTGAACAGCAGGGGCAAGGGCCCTGAGGCTGGACTCGGCAAGAGTGGAGTTCAAGCTGCAGGGTCCCTCCAAGCCTCGGCTTTCACAATAGTTCAGTGGAGGTCATAACGCCACAATCACTACATCCAAAGGGGCTTCATAAACAGGAAATGGTTTCACAGATTTAAGAGACTGAAACTGCTCTTAGAACCCATAAAGTCAGAACCCCAGTCCAACGCTGTTTCCGCCCACCCTGGTTTAATGGAACACTAATTCAGAGGCCTAACCCAGTAGTCTGAGAAAAGACAGCTGCCCAGAGAGGTAGGGTCTGGGATTGTGTCCCGAGCTGCCGTCGTCTCCTCCTAGATGGAGCTAGGAGTCTCCATCTGGTCTCTGACACTTACTCTAGAAGCTTCCAAAAGCCTTCACCCTACCTGCAGTCTGCAGTGCTGACAGGACGTCCTGTCCACCACGATCCCAGCTTGGGGAAAGGGGAAGTAGGTAACTGCTGCCATAGGAACAGAAAGCGTGCTGGCCTTTCACCGAGCCCATCTTGGAAGGCCACCAAATTCAACATCAGCCGCTGAATTTGTGGCCCCTTCTTTGGCAGAAAGAAGTCTGCACACTCAAATGAACTTCTGTCTGAAAACCAAGGTTCTCCGTGGGCAAAGACCCAAAATGTCAGGCCCAAGTCTCCCTCTGCCCAGCTCTGTACAGCCCCTCCCAAGTACAAGGCATAGCTGTCACAGTGTGCCCAGGAGGAAGGGGGTTTTTCGAGCACGGCATCTTTTTCTGCTTCTCTGGGCTTTGGCCAGGCTGTGCTGGTCACCACCACCCAAGGGCCTCAAAGACAGCGGAGGAAGCAAACCAGACAGCAGTCTATGGGGTAGCCAGGCTGCCCACAAATGGGCACCAATGAGAATAAAATCTCCGCAGAAGACCAGTGGTTTGTGAGAGCAGCCTGCTGATTTCAGTTCCACCCTTTAGGTTTTCTCCCACTGCCTCTTCCACCCTTGAGGTCCACACACCTAGATCCTAGAGAATTTTCCACCAGAAGAAATGCTGATTTCATGTTTTAACCTCTTCAGACCCACTCAGCACCCAGCAGTCACCCAGGACCCTGGGAGACCCACAGCTCATCCTCATTTCCTCCACACAATTGATTTTTCCTTGGAACAAAGGATGTGTTCAAGCAACAAAGCACCTGGGATCCCGGGCCCCTTCCCTGAAAAGCAGGGTCCTATATATTCCGCGTCAAATAACCCCGTCAACAGCTCAAGCCAAATCCACTGAGAGCTTAGGGTGGATTCAAGTGCAGGCATGCAATCACAGGTTCACAAAGTTGAAGAACGCATTACAGAAGGGGGAAGCCCTACAATTAAAACCTTTCTGGCCACCAGTGTAACTTTTCCAAAGAATCCAGGAAAAGTCTTGTTTTTTCGGTTTTGATGGTGAAAAACTCAGGGCCATTCACAGACCTAATAAAGAGAGAATTGCCAAATTTAGCAAATTTTTAAAATGTGATATTTGAAGCACACAGAGAGAGGGAGAGAGAGAAAGAGAGAGAGAGAGAGAGAGAGAGAGAGAGAGAGAGAGAGAGAGAGAGTGTGTGTGTGTGTGTGTGTGTGTGTGTGTGTGTGTTGTTTAGCTGCAATTCTGATCTAACTGAGTGTCCTGTGTCTGAAACCCTCAGGGAGGAAGCATCACGGGTTGGGAGCCTTGGCCAACAAATGCTGCTGTTTCTTCCTTCCTCCCCTGGTGGCCTGTCACCATGGCTGGCTGTTCTCAGGCATAGAAGGCTTCCCTTGGAGAGTTGTGCCTTTCTGTCCTCTCACACCTGCTCTCAGTGGATGCCGTTCTCGCCCTCCCAAGTCCAAACAGTACTTGGAAATGTGGAGACTGAATTATCCTGCCTCCCATCCTGGCCACCTCAGTGACATTCCGCCCTGACAGCAGCTGCCTTCAGCATGGTGACTCAGACCTTCCTGGGCAAGATTTGGCAAGTCTCTGTCTGCTCCATTTCCCACCCCCCGACTGTGCCACAAATATCCACCTGCCCCCTGCTATTACCGGCCTCACCAGGCTCAGGACCATTTGAACAGGCACTCAGCAATGAAGGAGGTTCCCCCGCTACCACCCACTGCCTGGGTGCCCCTCCACAGCGCTGGTCCTGGTCCCGAGCAGTGGCTTCTCTTGAGAGTCTAGGGCCCTGCGAGGAGCAGGGGTCCAGCTTCCCAACCTGCTGTTCCCAGCCTGGTCCTGAACCCCCATCAGGCCTTGACCTTAATCGGGCCTTCAAAGTCCCACTTTACCAGGCCCAAAGTTACCCTAGGAATCTCATCTCTTCTAAAATACAAAAGTATTTTCTCTCCCACTGGGGTGTGGTTTTTGCACTTGCCCAGGACTTCGAGGTTCTGCTGCAAGCTGCTTTTGACATGGTAGATGCCCAGAGAGCCACCCTGACCCCAGTGTTAAGCCGTACCTCTCTGGTCCTCTTGTGGCCAAGCTCAGCCTCCCGCATCTCAGGGCCCACTGC